AATTCAGGTAGCAAATTCAATACTTAATATTTGCTCAAAATTGAATGATAATTTAATTGTGAATATAATGTCAAAATTAAGAGAAAATTAAATGGCATTAATATTCCAAAAACAAGCAATTACTAATATTTACCATTTGCCAAAATAATTTACTATATTAATTAAGGTAATATTAATATGGTAATATTATACCAAATAATCACCATTTACCAAAATTAATAAATATAAACATAAATTATTAAATATAAGGAAAATATTAATATATATCGTAAATATAATAGATAATTGCATTGTAAAGAAGGAGACGTACCAGTCTTGCGTCTTCTTCCAACGAATCGCCGAATAACCAGCGGCCATCATCCAGCCGTCCTCCTTCTTCAGATGAGGAGCAACAGCAGCCGTCTTCATCGCGAAGCCACCATCGCCGACGGCCTTACAGAGAGGAGAACGCGAAGGATGAGAGGGAGCAGCGACGGTTCACCGGAAAACCCAGCGCTCCTCCGACGTATCTACTCTGCGCAGCGCTAACAACAGTCGCCATGGCCTGATGCAGCGCCTGCCGGAAATCTAGCCCTCCTCCGCCGTGCCACCTCGCTGCGCGTCGCCGCCCGTAGCTGGAATTGGAAGACGAAGTGGGGCGTCACCAGGAGCTCAGCCTGCCGTCCATTGCCGCGATGCCAATACCCATGCCGCGCCGACAGCCTTACGGGGAGTAGGAAGACAACCGGCGACAGCCTGCAGCACCAAACACCATCTTCTTCGTGGAACAGTACGCAGAAACATCCGGTGCCCGTTCATCCATGGATGATGAAGCGCCGGTCACAGCCCAAAATGCCCCACGGCGCCGTCGCTACGTCATGGCCGGTGGACACTAACTCCGTTCGTAATCCAGCGATGGTAGGCACCTCGTAACCGGCAACAGAAGAGCATCGCTGATTCCAGTACTCGGAAAAACACAAAAATTAATTCCAAAAACAAAAAAGAATTAAATTGTACTTAATGCCAAAAATCAAGAATTAGATATATGCATACTGCAAAGAATTAATATACAAATATATAACAAGAACTCAATGTATATAAATCAAATTAATTCGTTGATTTTAGGCATAATAATCGACTAGGCAAAGATTATTAGGGCTCTGATACCAAATATTAGATAATAAATTGACTAACATAAACTGAAGTAAACGAGTAACGTGACCCGTAATAGCGGAAGCTTTAGGATTCCCAAATGTCTCTAGCCATAGTTGTTGGTGTTGCCACGGGAAGGTAAACCTGCTAAATAAAGGTTAGTGTTTTGTCTACCACTTTTCTCCCGAATACCTGATGGTGCGTGTATTATGAACACGGGAGCTGTGGGAGGACTGTTTTGCTTAGAAGCTTACATGCCATCAACGTAGGCATATATTCAGTTAAAGCTTAACTGAATATCCTGAGTTGCATAACAGATTAAGTCACTAATTGACTCAATCTCCTACTTGCACCACAATATGCAGAGCCGGATTTTGGGTTGTGCAAGCAGCCCAACAGCACAGGGCCCCAAGCTTTAGAGGGCCCCAAAATTTTAGAAGGCTCCAAATTTAATTTTTACTTAACTAGATACCATTAAAAAACAAAAAAAAAAATCTATTTATTGAAGAAGGATTCTGCTTGTAGAGATGGTAGAAACATGTTTGTAAAGTGTTTCATAGCTGTGAGATCCATGGTTGAATCTCGCTTGGTTTAGCTGTGTGCACATTTCTTTTTTTTTAAACCTTCCATTTTACCTTCTTATATTATTATTATTATTATTATTATTATTATTATTATTATTATTATTATTATTATTATTATTGTTGTTGTTGTTGTTGTTGTTGTTGTTGTTGTTGTTTATTATTATTATTATTATTATTATTATTATTATTATTATTATTATTATTATTGTTGTTGTTGTTGTTGTTATTGTTATTGTTGTTGTTGTTATAATTGTAATTTATTCCATAATATGTCCGTTGTCTTTCTCTTTTCGCACAACAATATTTTACCACTTTATTATTTTTATTATTATTATTATTATTATTATTATTATTATTATTATTATTATTATTATTATTATTATTATTATTACAGTATTGGTTTTAAAAATTAGCCTTTTGATAGGGCCTCATTCATTTACAAGAACGGGACCACCAAAATCTAAAACCGGCCCTGACAGCCACCCAATAATACAATATATTATATTATTACCCGCATGGGCAGCTCAACTGGTCATAGAGGTGAAACTTTGGAAGAATGATCAGGGATCGAGTCTCACCAGCGACAGTTGTTCTCAAAGTGAGGGGGGTTCTTTGTGCGCAGTGAGCACCGGTCTAGCCTCTATGGTTCATGTTCAGTTGAGTTACCATGATTTACATCCTCTCAAATACTCTGAAAACCAACACTTTGTATAGAGAATAGCCTTACAAGTATGTACAAAAGACACCTACAAAATGCATGGTGGAATTAGCCTCTATAGATACACCGTACCTCGGCAATGAAATTTTTTGATAAAAAATGCACACTTGTTACCTCTGCGTTTCATTAAATTAACAGCGTTTGGCATTTCTGGGGAGCCTATGGAAGAGTGTGGGCGTGTGGCTGCCAAATACTGGCTCTCCTGGCCCTGCCATGACACGTGCTTTTGGAGATTTTTGCCTCAAGGATTATGGTCTCATCTCTGTACAAGAAGTTTCATGCAAGCATTTAACAGAGGGAGATGAATTTATTATCTTGGCAACAGATGGGGTATTGAATCTGATTTTGATTCTTATATGTTTTCATATTCTTGAATTCTTTTTGTCGATCTCTATTTTACACATTTATTCATAAAATATATTGATGGTTTTTGGGTTTTCGGGCCCAAGGAGGTTCAACAAAACCTTTAGCTGGAGGATACACCTTTCAATAAAGTTTGCTAAAATAATATGGGCTCGATGATTTTGACGTGGAAACCGAAAGGAAAACCACGGGCCTTTTTGGGCGGTGCCAAGCCTAATACCACTATGCATTTTGTAGGTGTCTTTTGTACATACTTGTAGGGCTATTCTCTATACAAAGTGTTGGTTTTCTAATAATATAGTGAGAATAATAGAAATGAGAGTGGTAGAATGGTGTGGAGGAGTCCTTCCATGTGTGTAGAGTGAGTGGCCCCCTTTCTTCTTGTCTTCTCCTCCTTTTATAGCTAGCCCATCCCAAAAGTGTCCGTTGGACCATTTAGTGGGGTAGTTAATAGGTATTAACTTGGTTATTAGTGGGGTAATAAGTGGGAGACTTAATAGGTAGCCTTTATTTGGGGGGTTATGGATGAGGTAGATAAATAGGTAGTAAATAGGACTTCAAGGGTAGACAATTAGGAGTTTAATAGGGTCTAACGGCTAGTTTAACGCCGACCTTCTACCCGTGCTGATCCCACACTCACGCCGACTCCCGGGTCGAGCCGACTCCTCGGCTTGGCTCGTATCTTTTTGGGCTTGCTCCATTTTCTTCTTGGGTTTCCCTTCTTTGTCTGGGCTTTATCTCTTTTCTTTTTGGGCCCCGAGCCCACGGGGTTCACACCCCATCTACTAGTCCCTCACTTTTCTATGTTTCGCGCTTAGCAGGGCATGGAAAAGTATATTGTCTTGCCTCAAAATTCCCTTTATTAACCCCCTCGATTTTTGCCGACTCTTTGTTCAAGATTCCAAACGAATCCATCCTCATGACTTCTCTTTGTTTGCCATATGACCGACTGCTTCAGTGGATGTGACCCTCTGACTTCGAGCCCCTTTTATCTTTAGCCGTCGAGGTGAATCTCGGCTGTAACTTTTCCTTTCCTTGATAAACTCCTAAGGGTTTTGACCCTTGATTCCTTCTTTATTCGCCGAGTCCCTCAGTCGAGGCAACTCTTCGGTGGTAGCTTCCTCTGAGAAATGTCTAAGGGTCGGAACTCTGGTTTCTTTTCTTTTCTCTTGCCGAGTCCCTGCTCGGGGTGACTCTTTTGGCTTTTTCTCTTAAGAAACGTCTAGGGGTCCTAGCCCTTGTTTCTTTCCTCTTTTCTCTAGAAACGTCTAAGGGTCGGAACCCTTGTTTCTTTTCTCTTTTCTCGCCGAGCCCCTCAGTCGAGGCGATTAGACTTTTTCTATCTTAGAAACAGTTTAGGGTCAGTGCCCCGTTGTTTCTTTCTATACTCGCCGAGTCCCTCAGTCGAGGCAACTCCTGTAGGCTTTTTCTCGGAAACGTCTAAGGGTCAGTGCCCTTGTTTCCTATCTTTTCTCGACGAGTCCCTCAGTCGAGGCGACCCTTTAGTCTTTTTCTATCTTAGAAACAGTTTAGGGTCAGTGCCCCATTGTTTCTTTCTATACTCGTCGAGTCCCTCAGTCGAGGCGACTCCTGTAGGCTTTTTCTCGGAAACGTCTAAGGGTCAGTGCCCTTGTTTCCTATCTTTTCTCGCCGAGTCCCTCAGTCGAGGCGACCCTTTAGGCTTTTTCAATCTTAGAAACAGTTTAGGGTCAGTGCCCCATTGTTTCTTTCTATACTCGCCGAGTCCCTCAGTCGAGGCGACTCCTGTAGGCTTTTTCTCGGAAACGTCTAAGGGTCAGTGCCCTTGTTTCCTATATTTTCTCGCCGAGTCCCTCAGTCGAGGAGACCCTTTAGGCTATTTCTATCTTATAAATAGTTTAGGGTCAGTGCCCCGTCGTTTCTTTCTATACTCGCCGAGTCCGTCAGTCGAGGCGACTCCTGTAGGCTTTTTCTCGGAAACGTCTAAGGGTCAGTGCCCTTGTTTCCTATCTTTTCTCGCCGAGTCCCTCAGTCGAGGCGACCCTTTAGGCTTTTTCTATCTTAGAAACAGTTTAGGGTCAGTGCCCCGTCGTTTCTTTCTATACTCGCCGAGTCCCTCAGTCGAGGCGACTCCTGTAGGCTTTTTCTCAGAAACGTCTAAGGGTCAGTGCCCTTGTTTCCTATCTTTTCTCACCGAGTCCCTCAGTCGAGGTGACTCTTTTGGCTTTTTCTAAGGGTCCTAGCCCTTGTTTCTTTTCTTTTTCTCTCGCCGAGTCCCTGCTCGAGGCGAGTCCTGGCCATGATTCTTCTTTTCTAAGTACACTTCTCGGACTCTTGGCTCTTTTACTAACTCGAGTGACTCTCGGTTGCAGCTTTACTCTTTCTTCCCTTTATATAGCCCCTTGTAGATGAGAAATTCCAGGAGCAACCTTTTAGAATGCATTTTCTTGCCCCACGCCCTGAATATATCCAAGCCTGTTGTGCAGCACATGTGCCGGGAAATTAAGCTCGCCATATGTAGAAAAATCCATCCTCCAAATTCGCATAAGAGATAATACTTTCCCCGCCACGCCGAACTCCTATAGATAATACTCGGTTAGACTTTGAAAAAATATTGATGCTAAGAGGATTCGAGCCCTACCCTCCTTATTTCCTTCCATGGCCTTTACCAATCCTGCAAAATTAACTTTTTGGATCCTCACAATATTGATCTTAACAAATGCCAAGATTGCACATTAAGACAGCCATGCGCATTAAGCAAGCATCTCCACCCTTCACCACGCGTTGCCTTCGACTGTGGGAGCAAAACTCGACCACAGGATCAGCCACCGCACCGGCCTCTTCGAGACGTTTCATCCCTCACGAGTACTCTCCAGCGTTGACACTCGCGAGAGATAGTCGGAGAACTCAGTCGCAGCCGACTGCATGCCTCGTGACGAGACACGTGCCTTCCATTGCGAAGCAAGCTGTATGTCTAAGGGCGTCAATAATCACGGTCAACTTTTCTGTTGGCTTTGAATGTTTTCGGATGTAAAAGCTACTCATCAGCTCCTTTATCCAAACTTGGCACGTTATAGTGTGCTCACTGCTTCAATATCGACACCTTCTCCGAATTCTCGAATGAAGGGTTCAACAATATGTGCCTTATCAAATATATTTCCAGACTTGAGTCTGGCCACGTACGCGAACGGAACCCAATGCTAGTAAAAAAATTTCATGTGCAAGCAGCCAAGCAGGCCTAGGCGTGATGACTGGAAACTTCCCTATTTTCTTTGTTGTCCATCTTACAGTACTCAATCGAGAATCTTCCGGCTCAAGTCCTCGGATATCTCGAAGATCTTGCCCATAATATTGCCCCGGGAAAGAACTTGAGGGGCAAGCAGTGATCCTTAGCGTGGCGGAACCAAACTTGCCAGTCCAAATGAAGAGCTCCCGTACTCGACGGCGGTTAAGAAGCAGATGTCTGATCAGACCTGTTCCTGATTCGATCAACCTCATCAACGTTGTCGTGGGTATTGAGGAAAGGACGGTGGGGTCAGAGCCGCTTTCAGAGCCTGTTTCCGGTCCTCCGCTAACGAAGTGTTTGCCCAAAAGAGGAGCCGAGTCGTCATCCGAGTCGGAGTTGCTTTCATCTTACCTTCATCTTCATCGTTACGGTTGTGCCTCTATACAAATGGTAACTTCTTTTATGTTTGAACATCCAGAAGCCCACGTCGCTCGTTCACTCTGCTTAGTGTTTTATGGGAAAGTTTCTTCGCCGACTTGCTAACCGTGCGAGAGGCCACATATGACGCAAGCATGCCTGATTCCATTTTAAGTGTGCTCGACTCCAATTCCGCGACTGATTGCATGGTGGCCTAGATGCTGATATCCTGGCAATTAAAGCCTCCATATCACTTTCAATTAACTCCGACTGGACTCGACGACTGACTCGACGGTTATATTGATATAATCCCCATGCTTATAGAATTTTCCTTTTCGTTATGCAGATGCTATATGTACGTTCCCCAGCATGTCTGATCAATACCATCTTTCAAAGGAAACGGCATGCCTGCGGTCATCTCCTCCGTAGTCCGAGTGCTACGCAACCGACTCCCAAGCCTTAGCCGAGTGCTTTCCTTACTGACTCTAAATGTAATCAAGGCTAACTCCACGGATTCCGACTCCGCAACATGCCGTAGGATGGCCGAGTCCCTGACTACGGAGTCCGTCAGTCTATCTAGACTCGGCTTTCTCACTCGACAAGTCAGGTCGGGCCTACCCGGAGTGAGAAATTTTAACGGCGTTGGCAATTTTGACTAGCTGTGCGTAAGTTTCTAGTTGTGACTGGGTTGCCTTGGTGAGGTTGACGCTGGTTTCGGCTGGGATGACTGCCTCATTGTTCTGAGATTCAGTCCAAAAAACGTCGAAAGCTCCTCTCATCTACCATGAGCGACTCTGCCGAGTGATCGCCGGGGACTCTGCTAGAGGCAAAGCATTTTAACCGTTAAAATAATCTCATCCGAGTTCGAGTCGACTCCGTCGACACCGTTAGAGACTTCGGCGCAGGCATCCATGGTGACCGACTTCGACTCCTTCGTTTACAACGGCCGACTGCTCCTTTCGCTCTGGCTTATTGCGCACAAGTCGATCTTCGAAGGAGACGGGCGGATGATCGTCGAGAGGAATCCGCTATATCACTCAGAGATCTTCCTGATTATCTGAGTCATCATCGCCACCGCGTGATGGAGTTGGTCATTACCTCCAATGACATACATGTTCCAGTGTGCGTGATCGTTGTACACCACATGGAAGTATCCAAATTGGCATCTCGGCACTCTTTGCACTAATCTCCTCTCAGATGGCCGAAAGCAATGGTGATTTAATGATATTATCTTTTTTGTGAGCAATCATCTGTGTTGATATGTACGTCCAAATATCGAATGTACTGGGGATGGAAATGTCGTCACCGTTGCTCCCGTATTTTCGCTCAATCCTGCTTCCGATACCTTTCCCTTCTTTCAATTCTCCATCACGCTTCTGCTACCCATCCTCATGCAAGACTTTGGAAAAATTAATTTGCGAGCGATGGATGCCTCGTACAGAATGGATTTGTGTCATCGGGGACCGGTTGCCGACTGCCAGGCTTAACCCGCTGACTTCCCAGCCTACCGACTGCCGACTCCTCCTTTACATCCAGGTTTGTATGTCATCTATATAGAAGTGATAGGTCCTCCACAGCCGTCTTCTCTGTCACCTCTTGTGGTCGCATTGAATTCTATGAAAAATGACTTTTCTCTTCGGTACCGTCTTGCTCCTTTGGCTACAGTTTTATTAATTTCTAAGTATATGGGAGTTGCCTTCGCTCTCCACATCCGAGTTTGCGTCATCGGAATCGATGACGCTTTCAAATCTCCTTCATCCGCACCATCCGAGTTCGACTTCCACAGCCGACTGGGAGCCTTGTGATTTGACACGCGAGGGGATGCAATCGGGGTGCTCAGTAGGAATTCCACCACCAGGGCTCGACTTGGATCCTTCGATCGTATTAATAGTCCGCGAAACGAATGTATCCTCAGTGAGTCAGTGATGCTTATCATAACTACTGTCTTTCTATACTTCTGGAAAACTCATAGATGTGAATCGTCGACTTCTGGAAAGTTCATAAGCGGGAGGAGTTCATAGCCATGCCCCATCACTAGGTCGTCGACCCCTTTCTCCGCAACCGTGCCGAGTGTCACGAGTCGGTTGATTACTGTTTCTCTTCTTGCTTCCGCCAGATAACTGTCGCGCCACTTGTAGGGAGGAACGGAGTCGGCGATAGAGTGAAGCTGGGAGGAACTTATGCAGTCTCCATTCGTTCGTGTCTCGTAGCAGCCAGTCGGTTGGGAGAAGCAAGAAGGGCCGTCAACATGCTATACTGGTAAGCTTTCCACGCCGAGTCCACCATTGCCGTCTCTTCTCCAACCTTCTCTGAGCCGGTCATTTTGCAGAGAGAAAGAGAGTCATGAAAGGGGCCGGAGCTAGTGTTGAGAGGTTTGCTTTGCTTTCTTGTTCTTTTGGTGATTGGAGCGGGGTCGAACATTCTTGCCACGTACAGAGAACCTCGAGAGCGTTGGCCAGAAATTCCATTACCTTTAGGCCTTGATTTTGAAACTTTGCACTTGGCGAATCAGATCATCTTGTTGGCGTAGTCAAACCCCCAATTCCAGCTGCATTTCGAGGAATTTATCAGGGCGGGAACCGAGCAGAGTCAAGCTTCCGTCATCAAAGGGGATTAGGTTGCAGGAAAGAACTCGTGAAACTGAGTCGGCGGCGACTTGAAATAGATTTTTGTCGTATGTTTTTTGAACCTTAAGTTTTATACATTCCATTGTCCTGGTCCCATACTGATATGGATTTGGGAATTTCCGCTCCTCAGGCACTAGAAATACTTGACTGGAACTTATACTGCACAGCTTTTCTACAAGCCTCGTTGGAATCATACTGCTTATATGTTTTAACAAAGGCTTTCACATTGCTTTGTTAAAATATGAAATTTTGGAGGCGACTGTTTTTTTTTTTTTAGTTAGTACGTAAGAAATACATACATGTACTCGGCCACAATGATAGGTGGCGAAATGCCTGCTTTGCATAGCATTTCAAGGTGCCTCTTGCTCTGGATGAATCCTGGATGTTGATTTGGGAATTGAATTTTCATTCCCCTAGAAGACTGAAACTGGGAGTGCCTTCTGAAATATATATATTGTAGAGCCTCTCTGCGAGTCTCATTTAACAACATACTGCTTGTCTTTTCTCAATATAAACAAAATTCTTCCCATAATTCAGAGAAAAACAGAGAAAACAATTATGACCACGGTGTCTATCGTTAAAGTCCTGGTGGGGGAATCATTTATTCGGCGTCCCGATTTCTTGATTCCCCCGGCCGAGTCCCTCAGTGTGATAGACCGACCACTCTTTGCTAACAACTACCGAGTACTTTAATTACGTCTAATTTAAGGGTTACCTCTTGTAGACCTCAACGCATAGCTTCTTTACTTGAGTCTCCTCTAATTCTCTTCTTGGTCCACGGTTCTTCATGAACATTCTCAATCTTCCGTCCGTAGTGCCCGGACGCTCTCCGAAATTGCTCAGATAAAGAGGCAAACGCAACCTTTTGTCACGATCCCCACGGACGGCGCCAGTGATGGTTTTTGGATTTTCGGGCCCAAGGAGGTCCAACACAACCTTTAGCTAGAGGATACACCTTTCAATAAAGTTTGCTAAAATAATATGGGCTCGATGATTTTGACATGGAAACCGAAAGGAAAACCACGGGCCTTTTTGGGCGGTGCCAAGCCTAATTCCACTATGCATTTTGTAGGTGTCTTTTGTACATACTTGTAGGGCTATTCTCTATACAAAGTGTTGGCTTTCTAATAATATAGTGAGAATAATAGAAATGAGAGTGGTAGAATGGTGTGGAAGAGTCCTTCCATGTGTGTAGAGTGAGTGGCCCCCTTTCTTCTTGTCTTCTCCTCCTTTTATAGCTAGCCCATCCCAAAAGTGTCCGTTTGACCATTTAGTAGGGTAGTTAATAGGTATTAACTTGGTTATTAGTGGGGTAATAAGTGGGAGACTTAATAGGTAGCCTTTAATTGGGGGGTTATGGATGAGGTAGATAAATAGGGTAGTAAATAGGACTTCAAGGGTAGATAATTAGGAGTTTAATAGGGGCTAACGGCTAGTTTTAGGCCGACTTTCTACCCGTGCCGATCCCACACTCGCGCCGACTCCCGGGTCGAGCCGACTCCTCGGTTTGGCTTGTATCTTTTTGGACTTGCTCCATTTTCTTCTTGGGCTTCCCTTCTTTGTCTGGGCTTTATCTCTTTTCTTTTTGGGCCCCGAGCCCACGGGGTTCACACACCATCATCACAAATTTAGGACGTGCTTTCAAATGAAGAGGTGGTAGAGATTGTGGCTTCAGCGAAGAAATGTTTGTATATATTACAAAATAATCTACTTTTCTTTTATTTTCAAAAAAAAAAAAATCTTTTTTTCTTTTAAATGTTTTGTTTATTTCTACATTTACTCACAGTATACTACACCAAAATCGTCATTTAGCGGCGGTTATTTTGTTGTTTAGCGGCGGTTGGCAACCGCCACTAAATTATTCGCGTCTAAATAGTGTGTCGCGAAGGATTTAGCGCGGTTTTCAACAACCGCGGGAATTAATGGGAGACTTAATTAGCGGCGGTTTTGGTTGCATTTAGCGACGGTTTTGTAACCGCCGCGAATAATTGGTTATTTTCGTCTAGTGTTTAGCGACACTTGCATAACCGCCTCTAAATATTTAAATTTTATTTTAAATATTAGCGGCAGTTTTAAAACCGCCGCTAAAATATATTTTTATTTTAAAATTATTTTCTCATCTAATAGTAATGTCATTTTTGAGCTGCCTTTTAAAATTTTCATTATATTTTATTTTTTTATTTTTATGATCCTCATTAAATTATATTTTTTCTCGTAAATCTCTACATTTAAATTCCCATTGCACCCACAAAGAAATTCTGTATTCGCATTCAATTGAAAAGAAAATCAATTGTAACAAATTTTTGTAAATTAATAATATTAAACAATATTCATGTACAACCGTGTAGATATTAATTGAACCGCATACATAATTGAAAAGTATTTTTACATGAAAAATATAAAACATAGTAGTTCATTCAATATGACAATTTCATGCACTCTTGATGAAAATTGATAATCACTTCATTCATCTGGTACCTACATCAAAAAATGTAATTTACAAACGCATTAATAATAATAATAATAATAATAATAATAATAATAATAATAATAATATTACAAATAATAATAATAATAATAATAATAATAATAATAATAAAACACAATCCAAAGCAATAATCTTGTCAACTTGCTACATACTTACACTAGTAGTCTAGTACACAATCAACCCTTCTACATATTCACATGTATGTATTTTGCATGAACATGGCTTGGTACACAATATCTGCAAAGCAAAAGAAAGAATAATGTGAATAAAGCAGCAAATTACAAACCATAAAGAATTAAAAATTTCTGAAATGTGCATCTCTAATAGATATCAACTATTAATTAAACTATAAAATCACAATTGAATTTTATTTTATCTTTTATAAATTACAAATTATAGAGTATTATATTAGTGTCATTGAATATACTTTCTATGAAAATGTGCAATCATCAACCTGTTTTCTCAAACCATGTTTCTTGTTTTGCAGTCCCTGTTGAGGTTGGTTTGAGGCAATCTTCTCCAAAAAGTTCCAAAACCAAGGTTGTTTTACACTGGTACATGGAATAATAAGACAATATTCTAGGAAGTTGTTGATATTGGATCTGAAGTAGAGCAGGCAGAAAAATGGTGTGGTTAGAGAGAATTACCTTGGAAAAGAAAGATCCACATAACTCATGAGCCCTATACCATCTTGTAGCAACATAATCCTCCACAATGCAATAGAAAGAGATCAGAGAAGAACAACACTTCAGTTCAGTGCAGTTCAATAGAAGACAACCTGAGATGCTAATTCAAGAGGTAAAGCAATAAACACACTATCCCAAAGGAAATAAATATGGAGTAAAAAAACAAATAAAAATAAATAAAACCACAAAACAATGAGCATACCGTATAAAATACAGTTGTAGGTGTGACACTGAATGCAACCCTTGCGAATCCAAAATTGCATATTTTTAGTTTGCAATTTGCATTTGCCAATATATTTTTTTGGCTTAAGATCTCTATGATAAACATTGGTTGTTCGAAGTGAAATAATTGTAGGTCAGAATATATCAGAGAGCAAAGATCTATTGTGTCCAACCATTATATTAACATATAAATTATGCACTGGACTATCACCTGTGTGCATATATTTCAAAGCACGTAGCATTTGGTAGAGGAAAAATCGCTGGTGCTCGTGTGTCAAGTCAACAGATTAATAAATTTTAACCTGAAAACCTTAAAAAAAAAAGTAGATACTTACAACTACTGGTTATAAATTGGATTTAAATTATCCTCCAACAACCAAATACCCAAAAGCTAAGCCATTATCATCTCCAGCAGACTCATACTTACAGCTAAAATCGAGATGATAGGTTAACGACAAACACCTATTGTTATACCTTGGTAGTAGGAGGATCAACAAGAGCCCTTAGTGCCTTGTTGGATGATTCCATTGCTAGACCCTGCAAATAAATTCAGTGAATCATCATCTAGCCTAAAGGTGTCAAAGAGTACAAAATAGAAATCCAGGAACATTCAGTATTAGACTTTAAACTAATGCAGCCAGCATGGTATTTTATAGTAACACAAATAACTCTCACACAAGGCAAGATATGCTGATACACATTCATGAACAAACTAAATTCTGCTTTTCCAGAATTTTAATGACAAGCTAAGGCACATGCAATTTGATACCTTACATCACACATTTGCACGCCAATTTTATAGAATGAAAGGATACAGGGGATCGTCTTCAATTTTTCTTGTAAAATCAATGCTGTTGTTTGAAGAGATATCATCCATTACGACAGACATCATCCATTACGACTTCAGTTTACACTTCTTCATCGTCATAATCAACATCGACTAATACATCTCATATGATAGAAAATTTGAAAAAACTAAAGGTAATATTAAGAACAAAGAAAATTGCAATGATATAACAATAACAATAGTATAAAGTATAAACTACTTACTGGAGGAGATGTAACCCAAAGAGCGGAATAGCGGATATGATCCTGGAGAGACATGAGGTCATTTTGGTTCTTCTTGTAGACTTCATTGAAGTGGCCCAGGAGCTCCTCAAACGACACGGTTCCGAAGGACATAGATTCCAACAAGTTGAGATCACTGCTTGCCGACGACATTCAATTTGTATATATATATATATATATATATATATATATATATATATATATATATATATATTATGAAAAATTCTGAAAACTAGCGGGAAGAATTTAGGTTCCAAGAGAGAGAACCAATCAAATTGCAATAAACATTCAGAAAGAAATTCAAAATAATCCTCAAAAAATAAAAATAATTGATATAAATTCACAAAAATTAGAATTTATGTTTCGAAGGACCGGACAGATGGACTTGTTGAAGCAGTTCACCAGTAGTACTATTGCGAGGCTAATCGCAAAGCACACAACCACCACCAGCACCATGGAGCAAGCAGCCGTGGAGATGGATAGCTTCTGTGAACGGTCGCAAGTGGTGTCGCCGATGTTGACGGCGCTGCAGTCACCGTCTTCCTCTCGGCGGCTCCGGTATCGCCTATCTAATTCCAGAGAGGGCATATCCATGTTGAAAGTGAAAGCTTTTGAAATTCCTTCTTGCTTGTCGATTGCTTTGGACCTGACTTGTCGAATACTCATTTAGAGGCGGTTGTATATAATCGCCGCTAAGTATATGTTGCTAAAAATCTAATTTGTTGTAGTGATATGGTAAATTATTGCGGCCTGAAAATTAGGCATTTACTCCGATTTCTGCTCCAAACAGTAGTTGTAATAGGCTAAGGAGGTGAATGGATGAAAATAGCCCCAATATTAATGCCCATTTGACGGAAAAGGTAACAAAGGAACTAATTTGGAATAGTTTTTAAAACTCAAAAAGCCACATGGATGTAATTGAAAGTCGAAATGCAAAATTGAGAATGAGTAATAGTCGAGGGACCATTTTAGAAAAAATCTATTAACTCTAATAAGTATTTGTTAGTATATTTGCATATTTGACATTTGATAAATTTGACAAATTTAACACTAAAATATATTTAATAATTAAAAAATAAATAACAGAAGCATGTAAAACGGTACCATGAGTAAAATAACATAATAATATATATTAAAAATAATAATCTTATCTTAATCTTAAATTCTTAAAGATATAATAATAAAAATTAACATTAACAATTAATAATAATAATAATAATAATAATAATAATAATAATAATAAAAGGAATTAGATGAAGGATCTAGAATGCTAAGGCATTATCTATTCTTCCACCTAATTCCTCACCATTTCCACCCTCGCTATTCTCTCTATCTATCTGTCGCTATGTCTCTCTCTATTACCATGTCTCAGGCAAGACTTTCTCTCTGCCTCACAACTTCTCTTCTTCTGCGTCTCCCGCTGTCCGCCGCCCTTAGGTATCCTTCGGCGTCTCCGGCTCTCCGCCCACCATCGCCCCTCGCAGGCTTGAGCATCACTCGGCGTCTCCGGCCACCCATCCGTCTTCTTCGACCTTATCTGCAATTTCTCCCTCCCTCTACAAAAATAGCTACAGAAATCTAGCCCTTCTAAAGATAATAACATTCATACCTCAAATCTATAGCAATCTGCCTCAATTGATTTCGTAATCTGTACATGCTAAAAAATTACCGGCTACATTTTATGTACTTGCTTCAAAAAATAATCTGTTTTTTTTTTCAAATTAAAAAAAGGAATCGCATATAATATTTAGAGTTAATACCCATTTTGGTCCCTCGACTATTACGTAATGCGCAATTTAGTCCCATACTATTAAAAGTACCCAATTTAGTTCTCTAACTTATAAATTATACCCAATTGGTCTTCCGTTACAATTGTCATCCATCCACCGTTATAGAGAGGGGCAAAAACATCCTTTTATCTAATAATCGAGGGACCAAAATGGGTATTAATTATTATTATTATTATTATTATTATTATTATTATTATTATTATTATATACGTAAATTACAATATACTTAGATTCAAATATTAAAAATTTGCCAATTACTGAGTGACTAAGCTACTTTAGTAAAAATAATGATGTAGGGGCATATATATTCAATTTATTATATATCTTGAGATGTGGTATTAATGTAATAGTGTGTTACCTAAATAAGCATGTGTTTTAATCATGCCCAAATGTAACAATTTCAAGTTAAGTAATACAAAGGGGTTAAAAATTTTAATGTGAGAGTATAATGTAGATTCTTTAATTACAAAAAAAAAAAAAAAAAAAAAAAAAATGTTGTATATAAACGAAGAAGGGTGACATGTATTTCGTTTATGGTTATGATGGAACAGACAAAACTTTGTTGTGGAAGGCACTTTCAGCGGCTTTAAGATCCAAAAGTGAAGTGGTATTAAATGTTGCATCAAGCGATATAGCTTCATTACTTTTACCTGGTGGAAGGACTGCACACTCCAGGTTTGCTATACCTATTTCTGTTAATGAAGATTCCACTTGCAACATTAGGCAAGGCAGTGCACTGGCTGAGTTGATAATCAAAGACAAACTTATAATTTGGGATGAAGCTCTTATGATGCACAAACATTGTTTTGAAGCATTGGATAGGACAATGAGTGATTTAATGTGTTTCTCAAATTTTAGGAGCTCAACAATGACCTTTGGAGTTGTTCTGGGTGGAGACTTTAAAACAAATTTTAGCGATTATTGCAAAACGGTACTCGATAGGACATAGTACAAGCCAGTATTAATTCTTCTTACATGTGGGATAATTGTGAAGTTCTTCGTTTAACGAAGAATTTAAGATTGTGAAGTATTACTAATGAAGAGGAGGTTGAGAAGTTAGATATTTTTGTCAAGTGGATTGCATATTTATGTGATGGAAAACTTGGTGAAGACAATGGTGGTGATTGCAATATAATTATACTGTCTTCCTTTGTATTGGAAAATGAGGGCGATCCCATTAGACAAATTGTTGACAGCACATTTCATGAATACCGTACTGGAAACATAGATACAAGACAACTCGATAGTAGAGCTATTTTGGCTCCAACATTAGATGTTGTCGATGAGGTCAATGAATACATGAACGGTATGAATCAAGCCTTATCCAGAAAATATTTGAGTTGTGATTTTGTTTTCAAGTCAGAGACAAATGTTGATATGCAATCTGAGGTCCACACAACAGAATTTTTAAATAGTTTGAGATGTTCAGAGGTCCCCAACCACTGTTTAACCTTGAAAGTTGGAACTCCAGTTATGCTGCTGAGAAATATAGATCACTCATTGGGACTGTGCAATGATACAAGGTTGATAGTAACACAGTTGGGAAATCATGTTATTGAAGCACAAATCCTATGTGGCAACAACGCATGTACAAATGTGTTGATACCAAGGCTATCTTTGACTCTTCAGACCCAAGACTACCATTTAAATTTCAAAGAAAGCAGTTTCCACTTATGATATCATATGCAATGACAATCAACAAAAGTCAATGTCAAATGCTTTCACATGTTGGTTTGTTACTGAAAAAACCAATTTTTAACCATGGCTAATTATATGTAGCAGTTTCTAGGGTGAGTAATCCTAATGATCTTAAAGTCTTAATTTGTGGGGAATCTAGAGGTCTTTTAAACAATACTCAAAATGTAGTTTACAAAGAAATCTGTAATAATGTGTAATTGTTTTGTTTATGGAACGCCAATAAATTATAATTTGTCTATTTATTACATCTAAAACCTTATTGGTCCTATATCTTCAATATAACAATCTTTTATGTATTGCATCATAATATCATGGTCGTGCAATGCACGGGTGCAACTACTAGTTAGAATATAAAAACACTACGACAATCTCCTAATGAAAATTGACTTGGTATTTATTAAGAAGTCAATTGATTATTTGTCCAAGTTTAAACTTATTTGTATACTTTATAATTTGTGTATGACTGTATGTAGTTTGTAGTTTGTATTATGTAGAAATGTAGAATTGTAGTATTGAGTTATTGACTATTGAGTATTGAGAATTGTATTAACTATTAAGTATTTAAGTTATTGTACTATTGTAGACTTGTAGTATTTAAGTTATTAACTTATTAAGTATTATTATTTATTAATGAGGAAATGGAATTGGAAAGTGATGATATTTCTCAACCACCAATTCAAACTCAAAGTGTTGGATCTTCTCAACCATCTACAACGTCAACTACAATGAAAAGAAAGTTCAATGATATAGGTTGGGACTATGGGGTACTTAATGATCCTACTAAGTCAATGGACAAGATTAAATGTTTATTGTGCAAGAAAGTAATGTCTGGTGGAGTGTAACACCCCGTGTTACGATCCCTAAAACCAATTAAATCATTTAATTAATCACCTAAGAGAAAGAATTAAATCACAACAATTAATTAGGGAAGCCCACCATAGTCCATGGGCCCTTATCCCTAAACCCAATCCTTAGTCCTAAAAGGAATAGAGTTAGCAGACCTATAGTAATTAGATCCTAAGTAAGACTTTTAGATATATAAATAGGGAACATAATGAGGCACCTAGAACTCCCACCACAATAATCTCTCACCACACCAAGAATTCCAAGAATTCCCTAGGAGAAATCAAGAAACGAGAAAGCTTAAAGAAAGACCCTTCATAGCCAAGGAATCAATTAAGGCTAAGAGGTAACCCATGTCTCAACAAAACCTATTTTCATAGCTATGATTCCCCTCTTAGGATTTCCCCATATTATTGTGTATTGATGATTTGTGATATTATTATTGATGATTGGTGGGATGATTCCATGGGTGATCTTGATGATGAGAGGTTCTTGATAATTATGGTGTTCTTGACGATTATATAACGTTATTGATAATTATATGGTGTTCTTGATGTTCTTAATGATTATATGAGGTTCTTGATAGTTATATGATATTCCTACCGAATCTTGATTTTGGAAGATGAATTGTGTTCTTGTTGATTTAAAAATAATTAGAACCCTAGGTATATCGTGGAATTCGTATGGTATTATTCTTGGTATATTGGGTGGGAATTCGCATGATTGGGTGTTGATTATGTTTAGAAAAGCATGATAGGTTATGTGCCATATGTTTCTTGATTTTGATCCGTTAATTGTCTACGTGTGTTATCAATTGCGTTTGAAAGTGTCTAAGCATGGTTTTGGGTTCCACAAAGGTTCCCGGGGCGTTTTTGGTGAAAAAGAGTCAGTGGGGGGTAGGGGACCCGCCACCTACCCGCGGCCTATTTGGGCAACGCCGGCAGCGGGCAGCTGCCCGCCGGGCACCCGCTGCTCGGAACAGTGCCGCCGGCGGGTGATCCCTCACCCACCGGCTACCCGCTGGTTTGTACCCAATTTGGGATTTTGGCTTCCCCGTTTGATGTTCTCCCGATCCCCGTGGTGTCCCAACGGACTCCGTCTATCGTGCCTATGTCTAGTTTGATATTTCGGGTACCGTTCTTAGGTTGTATGAGTCTTATATATTGCATGCTAGTTGAATTGGTATCCCGTTGACCTAGGTGAAAGAAGTATGAACCCCTTAGGATTATTCTTAGTATGTGAAGGATCACGCATAGGTTTTGTTAGACGTTTTCTCCCCCTTCCCAATGTGTTAATGTAGGTTGCATGTGCTTGCTATGTGTTATGTGTGCATGATACCCCAATTTGGTTGCGATCGGATTGGTCATTCCTGAGCTGCGGTTCAGAAGCTGGCTGCGGTCAGATTTACACTCTTGGGCTGCGATCCACCGTTTGGTTGCGATC